TGGGATTTGAACCAAGCCTTGCATTTTGTACCTATTCCCATTGATTACATTACATATGTGAAGCTGTTTCTGAGAAATAGTGTAGTAGAGTGGAGTTTGAAATTATAATGATGTAGTATGGTAGGGATTTGGAATTCAGACTTACATTGCATCCTACTTTTCCCATCCTCTTGCTGTGTCTTCTGGGTCCCTTTCTGAACACAACTTTCTTCATCTATAGGGTGTGGACTAGAACCTCTGTCTTTCAAAACTGCTGTGAAAATTAAGATTAACTAATGAACCTGAAAGAGAAAAGTTTGGTTCTCAGTATTGGCAGGAATTCAATAAAGATTCGCCGTCATTTTAATTGGACTCCAGGATTAGATTTCTTAACTTGTTGACCAAATTCTTACCTATGGAAGGCTTTTCTGGAGCATTATCAGGGGTTGGAATTCACTTGAGTACTCCCTCTAACTCAAGCAAATGGCCCATACAAACTGCCTCATGTAGAACAGGGATCCAGGTCACAAGAAAAATAGACTCTCAACCTTGATGCTTCTCAAAGGTCTGAGATAGTGTCATTTCTCACGAGACAGGCTTTTAAAGGCACATGAACCACCTTCCATGCTGATTTACCTGGTGTCATATATCATGGCAAATGGCTGGGTTTGGAGCAGATAATTGCATTGGTGAAAGTATTTTTGTTAATCTTGGTCATATCAAAACATATCCCTCTACTCTTTTATACTTTCCAAAGTCAAGTCTCAATTTTTAATTTTTAAAAACTTCATAGCAACACGATATATAGGATTCCTAGTTTTCACACGAGGAAACTGAGGTCTGTAAAGGTTGAATGACTCACCGAATGTTCCATAGTGAAGGAGAGGATCTGGGTGCCTTGAGTGACAGTTTCAAGCTTTTAGACTGAATTGTAGCTCTCTTTGGCACTGATGTATCAAGGATGGGGGTGGTGGTGGGAGTCGGTTCCCGTAAAGAGGAGTAGTCATTTTATTATTGTCATTGTTTAGAATTGCCACTACATGGTTATAATAAGATACAGACCAACTTTTAGCCAAGCATTATCACTGTTTTAAAATTATGTATAGACAATACCTCCCTTTATTGCCTACACCAGAGGCTGACGGCTCCCACCACCCATCCTGGATATGTCACTAATCTGCTTCCATTAAAAGAGAAAGATTTCATTTGAAGGGGGGGATTCTGGTTTCTAAGCACGGGGGACTTGAGGCCAAGAGAGAATGGGAGTGATATATTTATGGCTACTTCTAGTGTGGCTCTAACTTCTCTTGACTCAAGGAACCAAGAATTTACTCGGCACAAGGTTTTTTTTTTTTTTTTGAGATGGAGTCTCATTCTGTCACCAGGCTGGAGTGCAATGGCGCAATCTTGGCTCACTGCAATCTCACGCCTCCTGGGTTTAAGCGATTCTCCTGCCTCACACTCTCCAGTAGCTGCGATTAGAGGTGCACGCCAGTACACCCAGTTAATTTTTATATTTTTAGTAGAGATGGGTTTCACCATGTCAGGCAGGATGGTCTGTAGCTTTTCTTTTTCCATCTCTGACACAGATTTTGGGTGTGACATTGAGCAAGTCATCGACCAACTGTAGAATATAGATTTAAAGAAACGATGGACCCAATGGTATCTCCAAATGCCTTCATGCTGGTACGGCACTTTTTAAACCAAGCATATTCACACGGTAGTAACATGTTTCATGGCATTTTGTAGCTAGATGAAAGTTTCATGATCCCTTGGCCTGCGTTCCTCATGTGATGAATGCTGTTGATAAAGAAGACAGGACAAGCTGGGCATGGTGTCTCACATCTGTAATCTCAGCACTTTGGAAGGTGGAGGTGGGTGGATCACTTGAGGCCAGGAGTTTAAGACCAGCCTGGCCAATATGGTGAAACTCCCTCTCTACTAAAAATACAGAAAGTAGCTGAGCATGGTGGCACACACACTTATAGTTCCAGCTACTTGGGAGGCTGAGGCACAAGAATCACTTGAACCTAGGAGGCAAAGGTTTCAGTGATCCTAGATCCTACATCACTAGATCCTAGTGAAGTGCACTTTACTCCAGCCTGGGCAATAGAGTGGGACCCTGCCTCAAAAAAAAAAAAAAAAGACAGGACAAGTGTTATTATCTCCTCTTACTAAAATACTAAGGCTGTAAGGGGTGAGTCACTTGCTATGAAGGAGGCAAGCTCTGCCTCGTCTTTCTACAATACCATGCTCTCAGCCAGATTGTACTGGGTCCAGTATAAATTTCACCTGTCTGGTCTAGCCTTGTCCAGTGTTCTGTTGCTTTGTTCAAACCAGAGACAGAAAAGCAACAACTAGTGTCTGTCTAACTATAGCCTTCAAATGTCTGCACTACAGTGTTACATTTTCCTTGACCTTTATTTCTCTCATATTGAGCACAGAATGCTTCTCAGATAAATGTAAGTCTGGCTCTGCTTTATTTATTTATTTATTTATTTTTACCAACGAGAGAGTGTACATCAAGAAACATGGAAACCAGGCAGCTTCCCTTCTCCAAGAACAGTTTCAGAGCCCAACAAAACTGGGAAACTGGGGTCAGAAGCAGAAGAATCACAGCTCAGTAAGTCATTCTATTCCTGGTGGGTTTGACAACAGTCAATAACAATAATGAGAAGACCTACATTTATTAAGTGTCTTCAGTGCACTAAGGATTTGACAGATATTGTCTCATTTAGGAAATGAAATATCTAAAAATGGAAGTTCAAGAAATTAGCAGTTTTAGAAAGAAGCTGTAGGAAGGGGAAAAAAGAGTTATGGAGTCTAAGAGTGGAAGCGGTGTTATGTGGAAAACTGTGAAGGTGGAACATAAGGACTGAGAGACTGCCATGGCAGCGGCCCCCACAGCCGCCTTGTGTCCACAAAACAAATAATTTCATCAAAAAGTGGGCAAATGACATGAATAGACATTTCTCAAAAGAAGATACACAAATGTCCAACAAACGTGAAAAATGCTCCACAACACTAGTTATCAAGGAAATGCAAACTGAAACCACACGAGATACCGCCTTACCCCAGCCAAGACAGGTTTGTAGTAAACGAAGTCAAAAAACAGCAAATATGGGCATGGAGGTGGTGAAAAGGGAACACTTACACGCTGCTGGCGGGAATGAAAATTAGCACAACCTCTATCGAAAACAGGCTGGAGATTTCTTAAAGAACTAAAAGTAAGTCTACTATTTGATCCAGCAATCCCATTACTGGGTATCTTCCCAAAGGAAAAGAAGTTATTGTATCAAAAAGACACCTGCACATGTATGTTTACTGCAACACAATTCACAATTGCAAAGATATGGAACCAACTAAGTGTCCACCAACCAATAAGTGGATAAAGAAAATGTGGCTTATATTTGGAATATACACCATGGAATACTACTCAGCCATAACAAAGCAATGAGATAATGTCTTTTGCAGCAACTTGGATGAAGCTGGAGGCCATCATTATAAATGAAGTTACTCTGGAATGAAAAAAAATCAAATACCATATGTTCTTACTTATAAATGAGAGCTAAGCTATGGGTAGGCAAAGGTATGCAGAGTGGTATAATGGATTTTGGAGACTCAGAAGAGGGAGGGTGGGAGGGGAGTGAGGGATAAAAAACCTACATATTGGGTATGATGTACACTACTCAGGTGACATGAGCACTAAAATCTCAGATTTCACCACTGTACAATTCACCCATGCAACCAAAAACACTTGTGTCTCAAAAGCTATTGAAATAAAAAAGTTAAAAAATATATAAAATCCTTGCATAGTATCAGCAGATTCTGGGCTTCTCCACAAGAATTGGAAGAGAGAAGGGAGAGGAAAAAGGAGCAAGAGTCATTTGTTACATTTCGTACAGTCATTAATATGATCATTTTTCAAGATCTGGCTTTGGGTTCTTTAGTAAATGGCAAAATTAACAGCATTCTTCTACAGATTACTTACTTGAGATTTTCCTTCCCTGAGCCTTGCTAATTAAAAAATACCATAAATGTTCTAACTAGGCCATTGACATTTATTTTCAATAATTGCAAAGGGACTTAAATAACATGTTAAACAACATGTTAATATTACTCTACAATTTAACTCACTGTGACTTGATGTTAATACTAATTTGTAGAAATAGCTACATGGAAAATAAATTAAGTTCATGGAACAAATGGGGAATCTGAGATTCCTTTTCCAAAATCCAGGGTCTAGCAGAGCATATAGGAAGTGAAGCAAACTAGCACAACCATCCAACTTAACACATTCAGTGGCATTTGGAGCTGTGGTGGGGAAAAGAGGCTCCCTAGTTAATTTCACACTTCCTCCATACATTTCAAAAAGCAAGGTGTGACTCATTTCAAAAACAAGGTGCAGCTGGATTTTTTTAAAAAGACTTTCCCTAGGATAAATGCCAGGTATTCTGCAAACTCCCCGGTTTAAAGGAGTTTTCTGTTTCATGGTATCTTCTTGCTATGGGGAATTCCAAAGCTGCTCAGTAACAGCAAGGCTTTTATGCTTCTAGCAGGATGTTTCCTGCTCTTTAAGACTCTAGGCTTACTGAAGTTGCTGGGCTCCGTCATTCTGAGTGTAGGCATGTTGGGGGCCTGTCTGCACTCTGTACGACCAAGAGAAATTTACTAAGGTGGCATCCACTGGATACCTAATGTGTGTTGTACTCCCAGCAACCCTAGGAAATAAGAGCTGTTGTTGTCTGTTGGACACATTAGGGAATCAAAGCTCAGAGGGGTTACCTTGTCCCTAGACCATGCTGCTTCTCTGACAATTCACTCCATCTGTGCTGAAATATCTAGCAGGTCTTGATGGAGGGGATGGAGACCCTCTAGGGTCACTTTGCTACTCTCCACCGGGGGCCTCAGCCACCCCCTCCTTGCTGCAGATGCCCCAGGTTTGTTTTCTTTGGCTCCCTCATTAATGAGTTCCACAGCACAATGCTAAGTCTAGTTATGCAGCCTTAATTGGTTTAGTTACAACAAGATAATTCCTTTTTTCTTCTCTTGGAGGCCTTTCTGTTTAAAGACGTTTTAGCTGGAAGATGCTAATTATCAAAGAGGAGAAAGTGACACCTGAAGAGTTCATTTTCCATCTTCGTCTTTGGTTTTTCCTTTGAACTCTCTTTACACGGCCCTCTTCCCCACTTTGTCACTTCTCCCCCACCATCATAAAAGACAGCTCTTCCTTGGCCAGGCGGCAGAACTTTCTCACTTACCAGGGAGCCATTCCCTCTGCAGCTGTCTCGCAGGCATGGACAACCTGCGCGAGACCTTTCTCAGCCTCGAGGATGGCTTGGGCTCCTCTGACAGCCCTGGCCTGCTGTCTTCCTGGGACTGGAAGGACAGGGCAGGGCCCTTTGAGCTGAACCAGGCCTCCCCTTCTCAGAGCCTTTCCCCGGCTCCATCGCTGGAGTCCTATTCTTCTTCTCCCTGTCCAGCTGTGGCTGCGCTGCCCTTTGAGCATGGCGGGGCCAGCAGTGGGGGCAGCGATGGTTGCAGTGTCGGTGGGGCCAGCGGCTTGGTAGAGGTGGACTACAATATGTTAGCTTTCCAGCCCACCTACCTCCAGGGTGGTGGTGGCCCCAAGGCCCAGAAGGGCACCAAAGTCAGGATGTCTGTCCAGCGGAGGCGGAAAGCCAGCGAGAGGGAGAAGCTCAGGATGAGGACACTGGCAGATGCACTACATACCCTCCGGAATTACCTGCCACCTATCTACAGCCAGAGAGGCCAGCCGCTCACCAAGATCCAGACACTCAAGTACACTATCAAGTACATCGGGGAACTCACAGACCTCCTCAATCGCGGCAGAGAGCCCAGAGCCCAGAGCGCGTGAGCTCTGTCCGGGGAAGCTGACCAGTTCCAGCCTCCCGGGCAGGAGTAGAGGAGCTTCGAAGACCTGGACGTCTTACTGAACAATGATTGGCATAGAGTGATTTTTATGTAGTGAGCGTGGTAATCTTGTGATCTGAAAAACCCTAAGGGAATTCACATCTGACCTGCTGGACCCACCAGGACGCTTACCTGACAGATGAGCAGAGACTTTCGCCTCCATTTTTTTCCACCATCTCTGGGAGGCTCATCCTTTGCAAAGAGACATATTATTTTGCTCTTCTCTGTCTTTCAAGGTATTTGAGAGGGTCAGTGATTTTAAATGCATTTTTTCAATGATGTAAAAGTGTTGCAGTTAACCTCCTGCCATTTCGGTGTTGAGAACTTTTCTTCTGTTGATAACTAAACTTGTATTTTGTATAGGATCCAGTGTGATACCTGGATTCTTATTTAGAAAGATTTGTGCCAGGTAAAGGGCTTTAGTGCTCCTGTTTCATGTTGTGTGTGTATGTGTGTGTGTGTTTGACTGAAATCATGCTCTTTTAGAATCAAAATCACTTAAATGCAGAAGGCACTGGTGTCATGATAAATGGAAAGTCATAGGCAGATAGACTAAGTTAAGACAGTGAACATCCCAAAGGCCAGAGCCTCCTCTGCATAGGCAGACAGCTTGTGTGACAGAGAAGGAGGGTATGGGAAGGAGGAGGAGGAGGAGACAGCACCTCAGGGTGGGCCTGAAGCAGGTTGGGTGGGCAGGGGCTCCCTGTCCTTTGTCCTGGGCCGGGTATGAATAGGAACTTATTTAGCCGTTTCACTTACTTGTTTGTCAAATAAAGAGATGGTCTCAAAAAAAAAAAAAAAAAAAAAAAAAAAAAAGCTATTTGAATCCATAGAGAATAAGTAAAAGGGTCGGTATTTAACTCAACAGTCTCTGACCCCTCTAAAGCCATTTACTTCTTCATCTTCCCCTCCTTTCCATCTGCCTCCCCCCAGCCCCAGATACCCCACATGCACCCATCACACACACACACACACACACACACACACTCTTCACAGTGCCTTGCCTTAGGGTGGGTATCTCTAGCACCCTCAGTTTAGCTCATTTGAATGGCACAGGACATTGAATAGGGGGCTTCGAATTAAGGAGGTTCTTAAAACTAGTGAGTTTTTTAAGGCTAAATTTTTCTCCCTATGGTTATTAACCATTAGTATTTGTTGTACATGCCTACCATCTTTTTTCCATTGGTGATTTTCTTCTTTTTAGTGACATGAATTACAAAAGCAGTAGACGTGTTCACTATTTCTCCATTTTTTGCTGATGCAAATATATACAAATATGTATAACTTGTCCATTTTTTTACAAAATAAATACAAACATATGCAAATACATATAAGCATACATAAATGTTAATGAAAGAAACCTGAAAATTCCCTTTTAAACTTAACAATATATAGTAAAAGTTCTTCCAAGTTAGCACAGATAAATCTGTGGTGTAAATACTGTTATTACCTTAAGAGCATAGATGGGGAAACTGATGCTGATGGGTGGAGTCACACGTGAGAAAAGTGTAACAGAAAACAGAGGTTCCAGCAAGTTTCCATAGAACACATTCTGCAAAACTTCTTTAGTGAGTCACCTTTTCAATGATTTTAAAGTTGTTTTTAGTTATTTTTTATGACAAAAAATATTATAACAAAGATTATAGACAACTAGCTTTATCTACTGATGTGTTTATTAGCTTGAAAAATTCCCAGAAATGGGATTCTTGGATCAGAGTATGCACATTTTAAATTTTAATAAATATTGTTATGTCACTTTTATAAAAGTTTGTAGTTATTTATACTCCTCCTAGTATTATGTGACAGAACCAGTTGCCCCACATTTTCATTGGATATTATCAATCTTACGACTTTTTGATGGATAAAAATGGTTATTTTTACTGTTGTGTTAATTTTAACTTTCCTGTCTATCATTTGAGGTGGATCATCATTATGTGACCGTTGTTCATTTTGGTTCCTTTTTTTAAAACTTGCTATTTTATGTTCTTTGTCATTTTTCTATTGGGTTATCTTCTTGTTAATTTGGGAGAGTTCTTTGTTTATTATGTATTGGAATATTCCCTTCCAATCTTTTTATCCTATTTTTTCTTTTTTAGTGATGTATAATATTTATGCATATTTACAGGGTACATTTGATATTTTGTTACATGCACGGAATGTGTAATGGTGTAATGATCAAGTCAGGGTATTTAGGGTGTTCATCACTTTGAATATTTACCATTTCAGGAACATTTCAAGTCCTTGCTTCTAGCGATTTTGAAATATACAATTCATTGTTGTTAACTATAGCCATCCTATTCTGCTATCGAACACTAGAACTTATTTATCTATCTAACTCTATGCTTATACCCATTAACCAACCTCTATTTATCCCCTACCACCCCTCCCGCCACCCACACTCCCTTCCCAGACTCTGTTTTCTATCATTCTACTCTCTTTTTCCTTTCTTTTTTTTAAACTGTTGCCCAGGCTGAAGTGCGTGGTGCAATGATAGCTCACTGCAGCCTCTAACTCCTGGGCCCAAGCAATCCTCTCACTTCAGCCTCCTGAGTAGCTGGGACTATAAGCGTGTGCCCCACTCCCAGCTAATTTTTGTATATTTTGTAGCGCATGTTGCCCAGGCTGTCATTCTCCTCTCTACCTCCATAAGATCAACTTTTTTTTAGCTCTCACATATGAGTGAGACATGCAATGTTTATCTTTCTGTGCCTGGCTTATTTCACTTAACATATTGACTTCCAGCATATTCGTGTTGATGATGTCCTTTTCTCCCCCTCCCTTTTTTTTTTTTTTTTTTTTTTTTGCAACGGAGTTTTGTGCTTGGTGCCTAGGCTGGAGTGCAATGGCGTGATCTCAGCTCACCGCAACCTCCACCTCCTGGGTTCAAGCAGTTCTCCTGCCTAAGCCACCCAAGTAGCTGGGATTACAGGCAGGTGCCATCATGCCCGGCTAATTTTGTATTTTTAGTAGAGATGGGTCAGACTGGTCTCAAACTCCTGGGCTCAAGGGATCTGCCTGTCTTGGCATCCCAAAGTGCTGGGATTACAGGCATGAGTCACTGTGCCTGGCAATGATGTCTTACATTTATAATTTTGATTATGGCATTTTTTTGAAGCTTTTCATTTTTATATAATCAAATCTGGCTTTTGTTTCATGGGTTATGTGTTTTTCCCCCTTGCTTAATTTTCCCAAGTTTCAAGGTTGTTCAACTGTTACTTTGATTTTTTGAAATACACTTACAGTTTTATTTTTTATTTATAGGTCTTCAACATACCTGTGATTCATTTTTGTCTATAGCATGTGGAAGGAATCTAATTTTATTTCCATGTAGCTTGTCATCAGGGGTTGGTGGGTGGTGGTGAGCACAGTTGCTAAGATGTCATTCTATGTATATAAACTTTCATGAGCTTCTCATATATTTGATGTTTTAGAGGAAAATCTAGGAAACATTGAATAATGTCAAGACTTTCTCCAAGGAACTCTATTGCATGCATGTATAGGTGTTCATGTGAGAGTGTATGTGTGTGCATATTATATGTATTTGATCACCTGTGTGTGTGTTTATGCACATGTATGTGTGGGTTGTATTTTTTGTGTTGGAGAAGAATGAGGGCATTGTGGTAAGGGAGAACCAGCTGGTCTAAAAATCAACTTTCAGTTCAAATGCTATTTTCCTCACTATTTTTAAATGAGTGGAACTCAAATGCTCTTGGCTTTGATTTTTCAAGCTCAAGCATTAACAATGGTTTATAAATAACGGGCACTTTTGGTTGTCCTGGGCACCAAATACTGTGAATGAATTAGGAGGCATTTCCTGTCCTCAGTTTCAAAAAATCCCTTAAAGTCACAGACTCACCTATTAGTTGGGTATGCCCTCAGGACTTTTTTTTTTTTTTTTTTTTTTTTTTTTTTATTGAGATGGAGTCTCACTCTGTCGCTAAGGGATCCACTGGAAGGTAGGTATCTGCAAAACCAGGAGAAGATGGCAGCTTCCTGGGAGGGGTCCTATGGTCTAGAGCCTCGTCTCACCCACACCCCCTTCCTAGCCTCTGTTATCTGTCATTCTACTCTCTTTTTCCTCCGAGTCCTTCCCAGATTGTCAGGCTGCAGCCACAACTGCTATACCGGATAGGCAGCTGTATATGAGTGTTTGACTCCTGCCAGTCCCCAGTGGAGTCGCCTCCCTTGTAGGGAGGATAGCTGGAATAGGTCCCTCGTTCCTCCAGGGAGTGTTTCAAACATCTGCCCTGGGCAAACTCAAGACTAGGAGTAAGTTATTTCTGGTGCTTGGACAGGGAAAGGGTTGCAGAACCACAATTCACATGTGCCTACTGTGGTCAGTGCTTTTACATTTATTATTTCATGTAACTTTCCTAACAACCCTAGGAGATGGGCATTGTTCGTATTCTGAGGACAAGGAAACAAGTTTAAGCCAGTTAAGCAATGCAAAGCCACTTGGTCAGGTAGGGGCTCATGTCTGACTAGTTAGCTTGTGAGTTCAGCTCTAACTCCAAAGCTCAGGCCTCTTCCCCCAGTCACGTCGCCTTCTTTTCTAGCTCACTCTGATGACGCTGCAGGCACAGGGCTTGGCAGTGCGAGAGCATTCCAAACAAATGCTCACTCTTGGGGCCTCTCCACTTTTTCTCTGCTTCCCTACCTCTGGGCCCTCATCTTTCACCATCTGAAGCATTTCAGAAGGGGCTATTCATCTTGTCCTTTAAATTATTTCCCTTTGAACTTCTGCCTCTGCCCTGAACATTTTCTCAGAAATCCTCTTCATTTCCTCTGCTGGCGCCTAGAGTTTTTCTTAATCTGTAGAGGAAATCTGACTTCTGTTCATTCGTGTTCAATAAAGTGTTCCACAATTCACACCGGGCTGAGGTTTCTTTGTTCTGCTGGTAGTTTCTGCCACATTAGCTAATTGGGAGAGAGGCAAGGGAGAGAGGCCATATCAGGGTGGAGGGATTCTCTGCAAATTGTCAAGTCCACAGAATTACCCTTACATTAAAATTGTGTCTGTTTTTAAGCAACAGCAAAAGAAGATGCATTTGCAAATGCACTTGGGCTTCTAAGGTTATTACAATGGTTCAGTATGCTAGGTGTCTACATCAGGGTTCATTAGATTCTTCCAACACTACCTACACACTGCAGGCTGCGGGAGGATCCTTGACCCTGTGTGTTCAGCCCAGGCTGACTGGACAGGAACCAGAGCCTGGTTCTCTCCTTTTGCCCTCCTGCTAGGAACCTGAGACAGTCTCTCTCTTGCCAGTGAAATATTGAAGCTGAAGCATTGTCCCTCTTAGAGCAGCCTGGAAGGTCTTGCTCTTGATATTTTGGTCCCATAGAGACCCTTGAACTCCAAGGAAGAAGAAAGCAGAAAAACTTCCAAGAAGGCTGGAGAAAAAGGACAATGATTTGTTTGTCTCTAGGGTTTGCCAACTATTGACCTTCTCTCCATTAGTTACGTTCTTCTCCACATGAATGCTACTGACTTGTGTTTCTTTTCATTAAATTAAGTGGAGAGACCTGGCAGGGCTGGAGGTCAGGGAGCCCATGAGAGAGAGGTATATTTAGAAAGCAGAGCTGTGGGCTGTTCCGAGCCCAGTAAACAGAAATGTGGAACTGTCATCTGAGGTGTCAAGGCTCAGTGCCAAGGCCTCTATATGTTTTCTGCTTTAATCTTGATAGCTAACACTACACAATAGCTAATATTAGCCCGTTTTATAAACAAAGAAATAGGCTAAAAGAAAGGTAATGTTGCCTAGGGTCACATAATTGGGTGCAGAGCCCAGAGCCTAGAGCCCACAGCCCGGGTCTGCCTTTTTTTTTTTTTTTTTTTTTTGAGATGAGGTTTCACTCTGTTGCCCAGACTGGAGTGCAGTGGAACACTTAAAGCTTACTTGAGCCCTCGAACTCTTGGGCTCAAGCAATCCTCCTACCTCAGTCCCCTGAATAACTGGCTCTACAGGCCCATGCCAACATGCTCGGATAATGCCTGACCCATTTCTTTAACAATAATAAGTGTATGCAACAGAAATGCAGCGGCAAACAAAACAAACAACAG